GGTCCTCTCTTTTTAAAATTATCACTAACTTGTGAACAAAGCTTCACACTTTGGAACTATCCAACACTCCTAATGGCTTTGTGTTTGTGGAGCTTCACATTAAGGCCAGTTAGCTGCTCAATAAGAACATCTGATTGCTCCATTGTAGGCATCTGATATATGTTGGGACGCACACATTTTGAAGTGCTGTACTCACAGACATTTGTGATTTCTCTGGCAAATGGTTTGCTGAGCAGCAGAAGGCCTTCACCACACACACAGTTGAGTGTAATTAGCATTTATGTTTCCTTGTAAAAAAAAAAAAAAAGGACTTGCGCTAACACTCTGTCATTAGTTAATGGGCCTGGCAGCCTGTTACCAGGGCTTACTTTCTCCCTCCCAGCTCCTCCCAGAGGGGCTGAGGTGAGGTGAGAACGTGCCACGGCTCCTGCTGTCTGTCAACCGCAGCATTAAGTACAGCTCGAGCACCAAGGACCCATATGTCCCACCTGTCATTACTGGGCATTACTCAATTAAAAGCTCGAGCTTCTAAGAAATGGAGCTGGTTGAGGAGGGATCCAGGAGCACATCCTGAGAATATCAGTTTATGTCGTGATGGCCTTGCAGAGCAGGACAGAGGTGCGGACCACTGGTCGAGGAGATTGTTCTGTCAGAGAAGCACCTCAGTCCAGTGCAGAGGCTTTTATGTGACTGCAGTCTGTCAGCCAGGAGGATAACTGTATTTTCAATTAGGCAATCAAAAGATTAGTTTGGTATTAGTGTAGGCTTTAAATTTCTTAGATATGTATTAGTTTATTTTGACACATCAGCTTGTAGTTTTGAATGTCTGAAGGATGAGAATATAAACCACACATGGGCATCACACAGCCCAGGGGCCACATCTGGCCACATCTTAAGGTTAATGAAAAATAATCATTAATCAAAAATAAATCCATTTTGCATGCAAATCCTGAATTTCAGCTTTTATTTTGAAGTTGGCATTTGCAATGCTTTTATTTCTGTGTGCGCTGCAGCTTCAGTCTCAGTTTTATATTTGGCAGATTTGAGTTTAGCTTGTTGGTCTGGCCCTACGCAACAGTCCTTGTTCTGTATGTGGCTCTTTGGGGTAAAATGAACCAGTCCACCTCTGTATTAAAACTCTTTTAATAAGTTTCTTCCTAAAAGTATTTAATACCAAGTTGAAGTATGTCTTTATAAATTTAAGAATGCATCACAGTTGAATTTGAGTGTACTCACTCCTGCAGGTAGATGCACTTATTTTGTATCAATAACTTCTGCCTCTCAGCATGCAGAACTGCATGCTCCCTATAAACGTTATGTTGCACAGTGTAGCAGCATTCCCACGCTGATGCGTTTTCAACTAGCAGCTATGCTCCACAGAGCTGTCACCTAATGTAGATATTCAGTTTCGGCACTGAAACAGTTACAATGAGAGTAATGACAAAGAATGAACTCAACCCTGAATGAAACAGTTTCATTTCTCAAAAACACAACCGTCTCATTGAGCTCAGCTGTTGCAGAATTTAATTACATGACTTCTCTTACTGTTTTATGATGTAAATCTAAGTTAAATTATACACTTTGTTGCATAATTTTGCGTAGCTTAATACGGCAGTGGACGTTTTGAAAGAAAAGACAGTATAGAGGTAAAACAGGCTAGAACAAAACCCCCGTGAGTGGTTGACTTGGGCTCCTCTCCATCAGGCTGCTGTTAGCGTCTTCATTATAATGTGTTTAATTGAACCGTAAGGCTTCTGTGTAAATGAAATGGGAATAAATGAAAAGATGAAAGCGAGGCGTAATTAGACCGAGACCTCAACTTTGTGTTCTCGCGCTTTTGTCGGCGGATTGTCTGCGCTCTCAGGAATCATCTCCTCGTCTTTTCAGCTAATGACATTAACAAAACACTTAGCGAAGACGATCTCAGAGCGGTGACTTTAGCCTGGTGTTTAAAGTTATTTAGAAAATGAAAGAAAATGAGAGAAATGTCGCCTTGTTGCTGTTACAGGGGCTTTTATACAGAGTATAGAGACAGTGTTGTAGTGTAGTTGTGAATGTTTAATGGTGCCGGTAGATGTTCTAATACAAAGGATGTGAAGGTGAGAAAAGGATTTTGTTCCCCTTAATAGTCTTGGTAAATACGCACAGTACTCACTTCTAAACACTCGTGATTGATTTCAGACCTTGGCAGCTTCAGTAACTTGATGCCACTGAATCTCCTTTGTTCTCAGCCCCTGTGTTTTGTCCTCAACGCAACTGAGTTTTAGGTCTAAATGGTGGGTTGCCTGTTGTGGAGACAATCCCTCTGTGTGGAGGTGGTGATTTAGTGGCGAGATAAGCTCTATGTAATGGCAGGGTGGAATAATTCCACTTTAACTAGGAGGCTTGGCTCTCTCCGCCCTCATGAAGAAAATATCTCTGATGCTTTCTTTCGCTCTTCGTTCCTTCCTCGTTTTTTTTCCCTGCTCGCTCTCCTCACTGTTTTTGTATTCTGAGTAAGTAGTCACCAGTCAAATAAGGTGCTAATCATTTAGGAGGGAATTTATTTAGTTTTTGTTATCATCGTACATAATATCAATGGGATCATTTCCTCTTGAGTGCCCAAACTTACACATTTTAAATTTGGAAAGTTTAAACAGTTGCGTACAATTTTTTTAAACAAACAAGATAAAACTGGTGGAAAAAACAAGAAACTAACAAAAAAAAAAAAAAAACCAGGAAATGTTTGATTTATCCCTGGTAGTTGATACAGATCAGTCCACATTCTTACAGTACATGTATTAGTTGATTGAAGACACACAAGAAATGCAATTCCATGGTGTATTTTCTCTCTAAATATAATACTTTCTTAAAGTAAACAAGTAAAAAATAATTAAAATCTCATAATTTCTTCCAGTTAAACACAGGGATGTTCTTTTAAACATGAGCACAATATTCTAGTCAACTTGATTTAGTGTCTGCTGGTGCCATGAAAGAGATCCCTGTTGTAAAAAGTGCATTGACAAAAGGGTGTAATGTCAAGTATTTTAACATTTTCACATGTGCCTGCCTTGTTGATTTAGTATGCACAGTTGTGGCTACTTTTTAGAATTGCTGATCATTTAAAAGATGGCCAAAAAAAAATGGACAAATTAATCATCCAAAAGATCAACGGGTCTAATTTTATTTTAAATTATTCATGAAAGTGTTGAATATGTTGGCCCTGTTCTTGTTTCATTGACTAGATCTTTAATAAAACAGCAATCTTACTACCAAGGAAAAAATAATGAAATGAGGCAAGTTAAAAATAAAATCCAGAGAATTTTGACAGTGTTGGCGAGAGTACCAAGAAGCTCCCTGCTGTGTTTTTAGCGAGGAAAGGCTGCAGAATGTGATTACACCTCGGTGATACGAGCAGACGTGGTTGGGAGTGAAGTGGTGATGCTGAACAGAGGAAGTGAAGGACAGTTGAGATATCAGTTTCTTACTTCCTACCTTGATCTTATCGGTAACCCCGGTTGTTCTGTCTCTGTCTGACTCTCACGCCTCATTTCTGCCTCTCAGTAGCAGAAGAACTGGGAGCTGCTGCAGATTGATTTCACACTGCAGGTAGATATGACAGGATGAATAACTCTTTAGAAACACACGGGCGCATGATCAGCATCAGTTCTGTTACTTTATGCTGCCCTCTGGAGGTTACAGGATTTAGCACAGAGACTCCTGACAGGGTAAAAATAGCTTTGAGGCTGACATTTCCAAAAAAAAAGTTTGATTTCTTTGTGATCACTTTCATAAACATGCACTAAATGAAACCTGAGCAGGTGGTACTGAATAAAGCAGAGGCTAATGTGTGCATATCTGTGTGTGTCATTGTGTTTGTGTTTGTTTTGGCAGCTCTGCTGTCGTCGTGGTGCGAGGAGCTGGGTCGTCTCCTCCTGCTGCGTCACCAGAAGAACAGGCAGAACGAACCGCAGGGAAAAGTCCCCATGCAGCCCAGCATGAACAGCATGAAGCCCGGCCTCACACACAGGTCAGTCACATGTGTGAGACGTGTCCTGGCAGACCAACAAAGCAATATATGTATACAAAAAGAAGGAATATGTAAATTTGGTGTTTCAATTTGTACAAACTAGACTCAGTTTTTTAAATTAAAAATCTACAGTGCCTGTGTTATACTTTTTTTTTCATTAAGCGTTTTCATTGTTTTGAGAAGTGATTTGAGATGGACAGCCATGAAGGCGCAAAGTCGTGTTTTTGATGAACATTTTGTGCTTGTGCCCTCATTTTTCCTCTCGAAGGAAAATCCTGGGATTAGCTAAGAGTTCTGTTTGCCTCGGCCGAGGATCTTGTTGTGTGGGGGGGGGTTGTGCCTTTATGAGGAAATATTGAACATGATGTCCATTCCAAGAACTAACCACCGAGTGAAAACAAGCTGCTCTCCAAAAACAGCACTCCTCTGTCTCTCCACTGGCCACTTGTCTCTCCCCAAGAGGATTTTAGCTTGTTTATTTTACATTCCCGGCTCTCATATTTTATCCTTGCTATTTGTTTTAAGTCGGAGAGCTAAAAAAAGCTGCAGCTGCAGTCTGCTTGCTCATATTCAGCTAAGAGTTTATGATAGTTTTCTTTCTGTATCCATCAGCTGATATTTTGGCTTTTTTCAAAGTGAAAATGCCATTCCTAGTCAGGAAAAAGTCATCCACAATTTAAACGTGACATCAGGCACATATGTTTTGATCTGCTTTGCAGCGATGGATCCTTTCCCTATGACTCGGTCCCCTGGCAACAAAACACCAACCAGCCTCCTGGGTCATTGTCTGTTGTTACAACAGTGTGGGGCGTGACCAACACGTCACAGAGTCAGGTACGTCCATTCATTAAAAGCATCCTCGCTAGTCTGATTTTATTTTCCACAAACTCAATGTACCTTTTCCAACCTTTTCCGGTGTTTGTTTGTTTTATGTTTTCTTTAGGTGTTGTGTAACCCCATGGCCAGCAGCAATAACCACATGAATCCCGGGGGAAACCCGATGGGATCGGGAATGTCGGCCAGCGCAGCGGGGCTCAGCTCCCCTCAGTTCAACGCTCAGCAGCAGCAGTTTCCAAACAAGGGAGGTTCCAGCCAGTCGTACATGCAGCAGGGCATGTACGGCAGGCCTGGCTACCCCGGAGGCCCCGGAGGATACAGCGGAAGGTAAGCGACTTAATCGAGTAATTTAGATTGAATAAATGCGGCAGAGGACAATTACACAGTTCCTGCTTGGACTGGAATAAATCTCGGCATGTAGAAAAGACTTCACAGCTGGAAAAGGAAAGTTTGATGTAACAGACACTTCACATTTAAAACCACTCGGAGGCACACTGCTGTTGACTGATGTCATGGAGTGACATGCAAACATGCGTGTATGTTTACACCTCACGGTTTGCCTTCATGTGGTGAAACTGTGGGAGTGGATCTATTTCACCTTCTTCTTTTTTAACACAACTATGTTTCTTGCTTAAATCTTACCAAGTTGTAACTGAAAACTGGAAATAAAAAGTTAGTATTTGGTTTGCATATAGCAGGGGTTCTTAAACATTTTAGGTCTGGGGACCCCTTACAAGGGCGAAAAAATTCCAAGAACCCCCTCATAAACCCCCATGCTGTTTTAAAAGATAATTTACTGTCATTTTAACCCCTAAATGCCACGAGAATAAATATTGTATTTAGTTGGTTATGTTTGTTTTATTAGTTCATTGTTCTCCATGCATTTTTAAAAAATAAATAACAAATTAACAATTTAGTGAAAACTTTTGAGGACCCCCAAGATACCTGTCATGGACCCCTGGGGGTCTTTGAGAATTCAGATTTCATCTGGCGTATAGAATTCAAAATTTTTATTTAATTTAAATTTTTTTTGGGGGGGGGGGTGTTATCTGTGGCATTTTATCAAGTTTTGTGCTGCTCGCCGCACTTTCATAAACTTGTCTGCTAGATTCTTTTTGACAAAAATGTAAATAAATAAATAAATAAACTTCTCCCATTTCTAAGTTTTCTTTTTCCCTTTGTTTTGTTGAAGCTAAGCAGTGAGGGATGTAAGTAGTCAAACAGTAGCCGTGTCGCTGTTCTTACCCCGGTGCAAAAAAGAAAAAGGTTAAATTGCCAAACCCTACATTTTGTTATCTTGTAGTTTCTCCGGAGGCCCAAACACTCCACCTGGCGGTATGGGAATGACCACCCACACACGTCCTCCCGGCGACTTCACTCCACCAGCTGCCGCCGCTGCAGCCGCGGCCGTCGCTGCCGCCGCCGCCACGGCCACGGCCACAGCGACGGCCACCGTGGCGGCGCTGCAGGAGACGCAGAATAAAGACATGAACCAGTACGGACAGGTACGGCCCACACCCGCCAGCGGAGGGTAAAACACTGGACATATTGGGCATTTAACCGCTGAACATTTTGTTTCCCACAGATGTGCCCGTCGTTCCAGATGGGGCCGACTCCAGCCTACAGCAGCCAGTTCATGAACCAGTCGGGCCCACGAGGCCCCCCGGGAGGGATGAATCCAGCCAGCATGGGGTCTGCTATGAACAACCCCAACATGAGTGGGCCGCCGATAGGTATGAGCCAGGCTCGGGCTCCAGGCATGGCGCCGTTTGGAGCTCACGGCCAACGGATGCCTCACCAAGGGTATCCTGGGGGTCCGCGACAGGGCATGCCCATGCAGGGGATGAAGAGGCCATATCCTGGGGAGGTCAGTGAAAACTTCAAATACAAGAAACAGTCTCACATTTTTATTGTTGTTGCATTTATTAAGGTTTCTTTGATTTTTAAAACTGAAGGGGAGTTATGGGGGTCAGCAGTATGGGCCAAACAGCCAGTTCCAGCCTCAGCAGGGTCAGTACCCCACCTCAAACGCTTCCAGGCCGCTGCCCTCCCCTAACTACCCCAGCCAGAGGATGCCAGTGCAGCAGGGACAAGGGCAGTACCCTCCTGGTATGCCCATGGGCCAGTACTACAAGGTCTGTATTCCACACGAAGTAACTCTAAAACTTACAGTTTGATAAAGACAATTAAATATAAAAAATAATGATAATAATGTCTAACTAATGCTTATTGTTTCTTGATTTTTTTCCACAGCAAGAACCCTTCAATGGTCAGAACACCAACTTCTCCGGAGGTGGATACTCCTACAGCCAAGGCAATGGGGTACGTTCGCGCTTATTTTCCACTATCAGTCATGTTTGTGTGTTTTAATTCAGCAGATGTTTTTTAACAGTTGCACATTTACTGCTTTTAACAGCCTCCAAGGCCCGGTAACTACCCCCACTCCCCCGTCCCTGGAAATCCCACACCTCCTATGACTCCAGGAAGTAGTATTCCTCCATATCTGTCGCCAAACCAGGATGTGAAACCGCCCTTTCCACCTGACATGAAACCAAATATGACAGCACTTCCGCCCCCTCCAAGTGAGTCCTCAAGAAATGAATAAAAAAAAAATCGGGTCATATTCACATGACACATTACTCTGTCCTTGGGCTTTATTTTTTTTAATCTATTTTTAGTATGACTTTACCTGTTCTGGTATAAATACTGTAATTTATCTCCTCCAGATAACCCCAACGAGGAGCTGCGCCTGACCTTCCCAGTCAGGGATGGAGTGGTGCTGGAACCATTCCGCCTGGAGCACAACCTGGCTGTCAGTAACCACGTCTTCCACCTGCGACCGTCTGTCCACCAGACCCTCATGTGGAGGTAGAGCTACCACTTTTACTCAGCCCTGGAAGAAAAAAAAAAGACGATAACAGGTTTCTTTTTCTGAATGAGCTGGATGTTTTGATAAAAAGCACAAAATAGGCAGAAGATGTTTTAGGAAAACAGTAGCATAAATGCTGAGTAAGCATTCACACAGTCCTCTGTAACCCAGGTCAGACCTTGAACTGCAGTTTAAGTGCTACCACCACGAAGACAGACAGATGAACACGAACTGGCCCGCCTCGGTCCAGGTCAGCGTCAACGCCACGCCCCTCACCATCGAGAGGGGCGACAACAAGACCTCCCACAAACCGCTGCACCTGAAGCACGTCTGCCAACCTGGGAGGAACACGATCCAGATCACGGTCACCGCCTGCTGTTGTGTGAGTTCATCCCTCCAGGCAGCGCAGATGATTGAATTTAACTTCATCTTTCTTTCTTTTTTTTTTGCAGATTGGACACACAGTTAAGCTTTTTTTCTGCTCTTGTTCTTACAGTCCCACCTGTTTGTGCTCCAGCTGGTCCACCGGCCGTCGGTGCGCTCCGTCCTCCAGGGGCTGCTAAAGAAGAGGCTCCTTCCTGCAGAGCACTGCATCACCAAGAGTACGGCTCGCACTTTTCTCTTAATGCGCTCGACGTGTAAATCTTAAACTTTGCTCCTGAACCTGGGGGTGCTGTCCGATGTTGCCAGATAAGCCCTGTGATTGTTTACAATGTGTTTCCCTCAGTAAAGAGGAACTTCAGCAGCGTCGCTGCGTCGGCAGGCAACACCACTCTGAACGGCGAGGACGGCGTGGAGCAGACGGCCATTAAAGTGTCGCTGAAATGCCCCATTACCTTCCGACGCATCCAGCTACCCGCTCGAGGGCACGACTGCAAACACGTGCAGGTACCTTTCAGTTTCAAACAGCAGAGAAAGTGATGACAGTACATTGTTCTAATGCGGCTTGTTCTCCAGTGCTTCGACCTGGAGTCCTACCTGCAGCTCAACTGTGAGAGGGGGACGTGGAGGTGTCCTGTGTGCAAGTAAGAAAAGCTTTTTCCGTTCTCGATACCTAAATATGTTGTAAAGTGTGTTGAATTTTTTTTTTTTTACTTGATCTTGAGTGAATCTGGTATTTAATATATATGGTGTCAAATAAATGTTTGGATAATTTTTCAAAAGAACAAACATTCAATAACAAGTCTTTAAAGGTACGTAAGAAAAAATAAATAACGTTTGGAATTAAAAACTTAAGATTTCTTAACATTCATTAATGCTACCCTCATGGTCTGTCCTGTGCAGAATGACAAAATACAAAATTGTTTCTGTACTAAAACCTCTGTAACTTTGCTCCAGTTCATTTTAGCAGCATGAATCTTTGCACAGGTAATGTCCACAAGTGGATTTATGGTTTCCAAGAGTTTTTAGCCTGATTCATTATGATTTTTAATAGATTATATACTGTGCAATGAAAAAAATATTCTGCTGAGAGTGAATAAAAATAAATAAAATTATGTTCCATCCTCAATATCTCTAAAACCGCAACAGCTGTTTTAATACTTACACTTCTGATGAAATCTCCCAAGTGTTAGCTTTATTTTGATAGCAAGAATATTTAAATAGAATTTGTAAATGCTGAGATACACTCAGTTACATTTCAGCATGGGATTTTGAGAACAAACTTCAAGAAAACCCCTTGGGGCTTAAGAGGTTAAGGGTGTAAAACTCAGATTATTATTGAAAAGAATGAGCCTAACTGGTTCTTATTTATCTCCCTGTAGTAAAACGGCATTATTAGAAGGCCTGGAGGTAGACCAGTTCATGTGGGGAATCCTTAACGCCATCCAAAAGTAAGTTTGCTTTTTGCCACGTCCCATGAGTTTGAGTCATTTGAATTAAAACCAATAAACCATATCTCCTCTCCTAGTTCTGAGTTTGAAGAGGTCACCATAGACCCTACGTGTAGCTGGAGACCTGTTCCTATCAAGTCTGAGCTCCACATCAAAGAGGACCCCGACGGACCGCTGGCCAAGCGCTTTAAGACCATGAGCCCGAGCCAGATGACCATGCCCAATGTGATGGAGATGATCGCTCAGTTAGGGCCCGGTTCAGGCCCAGGACCTGGCCCTGGCCCTGGGTCTGGACCAGGCCCAAGTCCTTACCATCCTCATCCTGGCCAGCATCCCAGTGGCAACGGGGGAGAATATCCTGGAGCAGGTAATAAAAAGTGTCTTTTTAGGAACAACAGATGTAGTTTTAGACACCTGCTTTCACTCCTGCTGTACAAAGTCAGAAGCATCCTGATGATATACCGTATTTATTCAAGTATAATACGTAAAATTAAGTCCGTAAAATCATCCATAAAGTTGGGGGGTAGTATTATACTCGGATAAATATTTTTACTTATGTATTTTAACTGAAATATCGGCTTCATTCACAAAATGCCTGAGTCCGGAAATGAGACCGTGTCGTAAAAAGCAGTTGAAATGAGTTTACCTCTGACACTCCTCCGTGCTTCAGAGCGAGATAATAACAGATCCAGGGAGGCGATGTGTGATGATGATGTGAAAAAAGAAAAAAAAGCAGTCCTGCAGCTCAGTAATGATAACAAACTAATGACATTAGCTTGTGACCGGGCCGCTCCTCGAACAGCAACAAACACATGTTCATCTGTAATGGCTGCCGTCTACCGGTGTTCTGAAAAAGTTTGTATCCCTGAAAAAACATTTCCCCACCAGAGGGGGCGCTCG